TAAAATTCAGAAGAAAATTTGTTGATTGTCTCAAACTAAACGCACTCTTATAATAAAAAAAAAAAAAAAAAAAACCAAAAATCAGAGTGTAAAAAAAGTAGAAAGTTCGGTGGTTTAAAAATTAAAAGTGGATGAACCAACTAATTTTGAATTTGGAACACTTTTGGTGCACTGGGGGAGGAGATAATTGATCTGATATATACATGACGAAGCAAGGTTGAAAAAAAGTAAAATAAAAGAAGAAGAAAAGTATAAACGTGCTTAGTTCTCCTTGAAAAGCATGCTTAATTGAGTCTCCCTCTCTTTTTCCTTTTTTTTCTCTCCTGACGGTTTCTTCGTCAGATCTTAACCTGTGGAATATAATATTAATCCTTATCATATAATCTTTTGGGAAAAAAAGTGATGACCATTACTTTTTTAGTATTTTTTTTTTTTTTACCAATAAAACCTTGTCCTAATATAAGGACATTTCCTCAAAGAAACAATAATTTTGTTGCTATATATCTTCGATGTGGGAATGTTCAAAGAGATTTCCCATATATATCTTTCTTTGTCATCCTTATAATTACGTACAAGTGCAATGTGTGGAAAATTATAGTGCATCAAGAATAAATCTAAAAGAATAAATCAAAGGTCAAAATGAAATAATTGGAGTACCTAATGATTTTGGCAAGACTTGTAACTTTCATAAGTACGCGTTATTACCCATTAGTATATAAGTGGTCAGGTAATCCTTCCAGATGTACTATTTGTTATATCATTGTCCAAAACAGTGATAGAACAGCAATGCAATTAATAAGTGATGAAATTCACAAAGTTCACAAACGCATATATAAAACAGTGAGAAATATTATATATATGGAACTTGTAATAGAGAACTATGTAATTTCCCTAAAAATCAACATTGACAATAGTATTATTCTAAACATTTTTGTTCAAATTTAAAAATATTACTCTTTAAATAATTTATATTTTTAATGACATCTCCCTACTTTATGTTATATTTTAATTTTTTTAATTTCTTCAGGTTTTTAATGATTAAGTTAGAAAAAAACTTAAACCTTATATTCCTTTGGTTTTATTAAACAAATTTGTAATAGAACACAAATATTACTTATATAAGGTTTTAAAATTTTTATGTTATGGTGCATAAAATAATAAGCATCAAACTAAAGGCTGATTGATTAAATTAATTAGTTTCATTAAATATATATATATGATATTTATTAGCAAAATTTTATGCTATCTTGCAAATATTTGTACTACCAAAAATATTTGAAATAATTTTTATGTACACTTTCATTGCAAAAACTAATAATAATAATAATAATAATTCTATTGCTGCATAAAAGTTTGGAATAATACCCAATTTGATCCCTGAATTATTGTAATTTTTATGATATGATATTTGCACTAAAAAACTTTCTATTCAAATATCTAATCATTTTCGTATATTAAATTGTTCAAACCCTTAATATCATTAGAATAATACTGATGTAGCATTTAAATATTAACTTGGATGACACATGACAACCATGTGACAGTGATGTAATTGTGACATATCATTTTTTAAAATAAAAAAATAAAAACTATTTTTTAAAAATTTTATTTAAAATTTTTTTATTTTTTAAAAATAACACGTAATAGCCACATATCAGATCACATGGCAGTCATTATCATTTATGCTAGCATTTAGATATCACATCAATATTATTCTAACAATATTAAAAGGTTAAGACAACTTAATATATAATCAATTCGATCAATTCTATTGGTTTGGTTAATTTCGAACTAAATTATACAAAATTGAATTACATTATTTTATTTTCATTAACCGAATTGAATTTATAAATTTTGAAAATTAATCGACCGAACTAAATTTGATCGGTTCAGTTAATTTTTTCGATTAACCGAATAATAAATACATTTAAGTTAAATTATATTTTAGACTCTTAATCTTTTATATTTTAAACAAACTAAATAAAATTATTTAACAAAATATTCAAATATCAAATATTATGTTAAAAACTCTAACAACTTATGATATTAAATGATTCATTTTATATTTGAATTATGTTATATTTCAATTAAAATTTTGATTAATTTGATTTTCAAACCTAATTAATCGAAAATTAAAATTCTTCTAAAATTATTTTTATTAATCGACAGAAATTAATTCGGTAATCGATTGATTAACCGAATTAAATCGATTTGATAAGTTAATTTGATTAAAACTAAATTAGAAACATCCCTGATGTAATCACTTTTAAAAAAATGATATCTAATATATTTGAAATTCAAATATTAGTATCTATAACTACTTTCATCCCTATTTGATTGCAACCTTTTATATAAAAAAAAAAAATTGTTACAAGATAATGAAAATAATAGTATTGTAAAAAATATTAGCAATAATTTTATACATCCTTTAGTGTAAAATATAATTTGTATTAATCTATTGTATTATAAAGGGAGCAAAGGAGCAAATGAATTGCACATATCTGGGTCTTGGTCTAAAAGTTGAAAAACCCTACATGTCTCCAAAATGTTTGAAGTGTGATAGTTGTGTAATTTTAATTTGATACCTCGGACAAACAATTCAACTAAATTAGCATAATGTACATGGAGATGTACAAAGCACGTGTTAAAGCACATAGAAGGTCTTTCAGGGGATTAGGCCAATTTGAGGCCACCATCTCTGGGCTAGATTCACTCTTTTGAGGTAGCTTGTCAACAGATATTCTAAAAATCAAAAAATTAAAAAAAATTCTGAATATTTTTTAATCTGTAAAATTAATAAATTTATCCATAAGTTTTATATGTATTATACAAAAAATCCTTAACCGTCTATCCCTGCTTACCTACTCTCATCTACTGGTGTCCACGTATACGATTTTTTAAAGTTGACCAATTGTTCTGACATTAATTTCCATGCCAAATGCCCCTGTTTGGGTCCCCCACACGTCTAACTTCTTACAGTTATGCCTGGATACAGACAAATTTCACCGAATTGAAAACTCCAAGCTCTAAACTGAAGCTTCTCTTAAAGCTGAAACATGTGGGTAGTTCAGCCAAACTCTTACGGTGCTTTACTAAATACAACAAAAAGAAACTCCTTTTACTTTTGTATTTCAGCCAAACTCTTTTGAGGGTATGGTTCACATAATTGTAAATTTTAAAAAATATATTTATAAATTTTTTAATCAAATATAGAATATTATTAAAAATTTGTCAACTTTTTTAAAATTATAGAAATAGATAAGTTTTTTATTTTAAAATTTTGAGTGCAATTAAAATTTTATTAATTTTTTAAAATTAAATATTCAATAATAAAAATTTAAAAATATATATATATATATATAAATTCTCTCGAACTAAACATCCCTTTACAATATAATTACATTCAAAAACATTGAACTGGCCTTGATTTAATTGGGCTGGGAATAGGTTGAAAGAATAAGAAATATTGTCAATAAAATCCTCTTGACCTTAGTCAAATTAACGGCTCCATATTTTTCCGGTGTTGAGTTTGTGGTGGAATATAAGCTACGGTGTTCTGTTTGAGCACATGAAGCATGTCAGAGAGAAACGTGTTTTGACCATACACTGAACACAAACGAAAATAATTCTAGTTTTAAATCAATATCATTAATGCAATTTCAATTTTCTTTATATACCTTTTTTTTTTTTGGCAAAATTATAAGTTAATTGTATTTAAAATTTAATTAATTTTGAAAATTATTTTTTAAAATAATATTTAATAAATTTAAAATTTAAAATCCAATTCCTACAATTTAAAAAAAAAATTGTAAGCCAATTGCGATGACTTTTGATTGATGCAAATGACCGAAACTTAAATTCGTCCGTATTTTCTCTTTTTGCCCTTTTTTTTTATTATTTCTTCTTTTAGACTAACTCAAACTTCTGAAAATTCGTTTCTGAACCAAAAGAGGAGAACCTAACTAAAATTTCAATGCAACACTGTTAAAAAGAATACCTTCTCTTTTTTAACGAGTCCAGCTTCTTTCACTTTTTAAATCTATGAATTGAAAATATTATATGCAGTTGCTAATTGGAATAAAATGTAACAATTAAACTAATTAATCAGGCTGGAAGAACTTTTTTTTTTAACTATTTAAAATTTTCAACAATTAAATAATGATGAATAGAATATTTTACATTCAGTAACATTATCTTCACGTCTATAACTAGTGCCAAATTTTGTTTGTTCTTTCCCTCTTTAATCTCATAAAATTAATCATTACAGTAATTAAATTAAGAGAAATTTTTGATATATTAATAGTAAAGAACGAAATTAAAATAATGATACGTATCTTTTATATGTTTAAAAAATTAATTTAAAAAATATATATTTTTCATCGTTTTAACTTTAATTATGAAGTTAAAAAATTTTATTGTTAGTGTATCAAATAATTTTTTTTAATTAAATTTTGTTCAAATCAATTTGGATTAGGATACAATTCATTTGACTAATTATGGGCTAATCATTTATTAATCCTTAGCCCCTAAGTTGCTAATTTCGGCAGATTTTTTACATTTTTATGTTGTACTCATAACTCAATTCAAACAAGAACTCTCATCTTTTATAGATATTTGCTTTTTTTTTTAAGCGTTTCACTTATAATTTTTTTATAATACTATAATTGTTTAAATATAATAAAAAATTATATAAAAATTTATCACTTATAAATGTAGTAAAAAAGCAAAGTACAGGCTACTTCTTTAGCTTCTTGCCATTAGTTCTTCATAAAACACTGAATTAAATCAGTTAAATTTCAAGGTGTGAACATTTCATTTAGACGTTATCTGCCATGTTTTTTTTTTTTTTTCAATAAAATCTCCAAAAGAAAAAAAAAACCCTGTAGAAAGAAAATAAATTCCGTAACTTTTTATCTATTAAAGGTGGTGACGGTATTTTTTTTATATTTGAAGTAATCATAATTTAAATTTTTATTATTAAAAATAAAATTTTAATATTCTACTATATCAAAGGTGATGCTGGTGGGAAAGTGGAAAGAGGTAAATTTCAGGAGTGTACTATTTTAATGTGGTGGCTGACCAAGTTCAGCTTTTGAAATTCCTTGTCGACATATAAAATCCTCTCCCGTTTATATCAAAACAAAGGCTCTACTTCAATTTTTGCGGTCCCCTGGCAAGTTTCTCTTTCTTTTTTTTTCATTGAAACCATCTAAAGAAACCCAAAGATTTCATTGATTTTCATGTGCTTGCCCAACAAGGTGGCGCACCAAAGAGGGTCAGGTGAGTACGTCAGGTTTCCTCCTGTTGGAGATGGCGGCGGCGGTACCGAAGAACAACAACAAGATAGTTACAGCCAAGAAATACAACCGCAGTTGTCTCAAATTCGAGAATTGAACCAACCGGTGATGCAACATGGGAACCAAGCAGAAATATTTTTTGGATCGCAAAGTCAAGCATCCGAGATGTCAGCAATAGTATCCGCCCTGACACATGTTGTCTCAGGGCAAAGAGCTACTGATTGGGGTTACGGTGCCAACTTAGCTGGCATGGTCTCGTCTAGTTTTGGGCCTACACATAGTGGCTCAGCTGCAGCTCCTTCTGCTGTTTATTCTCCTTCTTATTCTTCTTCTTCTGCTTCTCCTTCTGGTTCTGGTTCTGGTCTATGGATCGGTCAAAAAAGAGGGCGTGAAGAAGAGGGTACTGCTCAATTGATTGAGTCTGTACCAAGGGTTCAAAGAGCTTTTGCTGATTTTAGAGGTTCTCATGCTGATTCATCATCTGGTGCAACTGCTGGTATGTATTTTCCATCAATACCACCTCATCCTCCAATTTTTTTCAACTATTCTTTGCATACTGATTTTCATTCTTCTTTTCTTCTTCCTCATCTTCTTTCTTTCCTTTTTTTTTTTGTTGGTTTTCCCTTTAGTGAAAATCTAGGGAATTAAGATTACATCATCTATACAACACCTTTTATTTTCTTATTAATCAATAATTTTATAAAATCATTTTTTTTATAAATATAAACTACATAACTGTTTATTTTAATACTTTCATACAATAATAGTAATAATAAGAATAAAACTATGTAATATTGCATGTCTTTCAACAAGTAATATTGCCTTAACTTGGTTTTCAAGTTTTCATTATCTTGCAATGAAAGGCTTGATCAGTTAATCTTGGACCAGTCCGAATAACAAAAAATATATTTTTTTTTAACAAGAAAATAGAATTAACTTTCTTCGCCAATAATCTATATCTTCATTTTTTAACAGTTACTGAAGAAACTACAAATGTTATTGCACCACCAACCACATCAACGGAAACCGCAGTTGGAGCAGCATCAGCGTCCCATGAAGAAACTGGCGAGCGAAGAAGAAGATATAGAGGCGTTAGGCAAAGGCCATGGGGAAAATGGGCAGCAGAAATACGTGATCCTCACAAAGCAGCAAGAGTTTGGCTTGGTACATTTGATACAGCAGAAGCCGCAGCAAGAGCCTATGATGAAGCTGCCTTAAGATTCAGGGGAAACAGGGCCAAGTTAAATTTCCCGGAAAATGTCAGGCTGGCTCCTCAACCAATGCAGAATTTTCCTGCTATCCAAACATCCGTTTCTACTTCTGTAACAACCCATTTTCCACCATCTCATTTTATGCCAGTGCCATCATATTACCAATCCCAACCTCTTCAGAGCTCTACCGCTGATATGATGAGAGATTATTGGCAGTACTCTCAGTTGCTCCAGAGTTCTACTGATTTCCATGGACAACCAGCTACAAGCTTGCTAGAGCACATGATTCAATCTTCTCAATTACCTAATATTCAACAGCCATTGCTATCTTCTTCTTTGTCATCTTTGCCTTCTTCATTTGCAGCTTCTTCAGCTTCTGGTTCTTCATCATCTTCCTCTGCTGCTTTTCCTCTGCTTTTTGCTGAGCAGCAACAAATGGGCATTTTCAGGCAGCCGTCTAATCAAACTCAGGCTAGTGGGTCAGATTTTCCCGTGCCACCGTGGTCTCATCCTAGTCATTATCCTCCATCCACTAGTTAATAGTAATCCCATTTTTTATATAGAAAAAATATATCTTAGAAAGTTTTAATATTTTTTTTAATTGTAATTTATGTATTCGTATCATATAAAATATAATTAATTCGTGTATTCAATAATATTTTATATAAAATTACGTTCACAATTTATATCGATAAAAAAATTTTAAAATAATTTTTTATTATTTTTAAATTTATATATAATTTTATTAAAATTTTAACTTATATTTTTTTATCATTTCGTATCTTATCTTATCTTAAATTATCAAATCTACTTTTTCTTTTATCATATATTTATTTATTTGCATGTAACTAGATTTATTTACGTTATTGTTACATCATTGTTATTGTAAAAAAGAATAAAAAAAAGCAAAAGGAACATAAAAATCAGTATAAAGTTAAGAGGCGGGGATATAAACAAAGAGGCATTTAGGATTTCAGGCATGGTTCTATCTCGAAGATTTGATGCTTCTTCTCTCCATTATCGAAAGAAAGGTGTAGAAACCAACAGCTTTTTTCAAGCTGTCTGTTGTTTGCTTTACAGCCAAAGATTCATTAAGAATGTACTTTGTTTTTGTTTATTCTTATTGTAGTATAATGAATACAAAATTTAATTTAATTGATAACTATTAAAAGATCTTATTTAATAAATTTAAAATTTAAATTTCAAACACACAATATTTTTTCATATTTTTAAATTATGATCTCACTTATACTTAATTTATCCTTATTAATAATTATTTTGAAGAATATTCTCCCAAGTAATTATTTTATTTGACAGCCAGTATAATTCAGATTGCTCTGAAGGAAAATATATGAGTATCATAGTTGATTACTATTGCAAGTCATCGAACTTTTAATTACATAGTAACAGTCGTGTTGACAGCATAGTGAAAGTCACTTTCAACTCACAGTAGGGATTCTCACCATGGAACCCTAAGATGGGCAGTTAGAATTTCCTTAACCTTTTCATATAATTGAATATTTGTATTGATATTTTCTAATATATAATTAATTAATTGACTGTTATTTTTATGCTTTATTAGTCTATTCGTGTGGCATGAATAGAGCTAAGACCCATCTTTCTCAAGTAATCCATGTTAGAACAAACTTCTTCCTTGTTTGAAATTTCTTTTGTCTATTTTTGGAAGTGGAAATTTGTTGGATCCCTCCAGAATTAGAGTGGAAGTGATCACATTTAATCTAAACTTGCCAAATATACATAGTCATCTGTATCTACGCCCTATCCTCTAATGTGAAAACGTTTATTTCAAATTGATACTTACAACTTATATTATTATATTTTTTTTATTTGTCAATTGAAAAAAAAAACAATGTTCTTAGAGAAGCGAAAATAGGACGATTCCTGGAAAGATACATGCTATCCAAATATTAGAGAGAGGAGGCTCCATATTTTGGCCAAAAAGGAAGCTTCATTCTACAATGACAAAATTTATTCGGTTTAATTTTTTAAAAACTTTTTTAAATTAAAAGAAAAAAAAAACTCTTAATTTGAGTGAAAAAAAGCAGAAAAAAATAAGAATTTTTATGCCATCCCCAAAACATGCATTTAGTCACATGGAACCTCAACGTGAAAAATATTTTTGTTTTCTTTAAACAAAAACCATAGTTAAAGAATAAAAAAATTGTAAGAGTTAAGAGATTTGAACAGCAAAATTATCTCTCACCGTTATGTCTTGTTTATGTACAGGGCATTCTCTTTATGATAAAATTTATATGAAATTTTTTAAATAAAATTTGTGACTTTTTTTTAAATTAATAAAAAATTTATTATGAAATTTAAATCGATAAATTGATAGAATTTAATATGAAGATAAATAATATATTAAAAAATTATTTATAATTTAAATTTGATCGATATTTATTTGATAAAAATTATATCTAAATTTTACTAAAAAATAATGAGATCTTGTTTATTAAAATTCTTTTAAATGTTACATACTTTATTTATGTAATGAAATTTTTTATTTTATCAATTTTAATTTTTTATTTAATCATTCTTAATAAAAAATTTTATAAATTTCACCAGAAAAATTTTATCTAAATTTTTATTTTCTCTTAAATGCCCTCAGCACATTTTAAAAACACAAAAAATTAAAAAACTATTAATGTTGGCCCATTGTAATAGCTTTCGAGTAGACCAACTTCGAATAATTCTAGAACATTGTTTCACTAATATTAAAATAAACCTATAAATCACCCCTTAGCAATTAGTCTAGTTTGTAATAAAGGAGTTTCATTTCTTCATTAATACAATTTTTGTAGGAAACATTTTGAAATAACATTATGAATACATTGAATCAATCAATATGAAGAATATGTCTTAAAATTTTTCAAAAAAAAAGCAAACTTAAATAAAATTTTAAAAATATACTCAATCTGTTAAAAAAATGTTTGGTGTCGTGCACGAAGTATTAGAAAATTTGAGAACATAAAAATAATAAAAAATATGATTTTAAGAAATAAAATATATTATCTTAAAGATAATTATAATTTTTTAATACAATAAAATCTTAAAATTCTTTAAATTAGAATTAGTAATATTGATCGTATAAATAAAAAATTTATTTATAATAAATGAATGTTATAAATTTTTGTTCAAAAAATTATTACAATATGTATAATCACACATTTTTTTCAAAAAATTATGATAATTTATATGATAAAATTTGTATGTTCAAATAAATTTATTCAAAATATAAATAATATTAGTTTATTTTATTCATAGAATTTAATAAATAAATAATTAAAAAATAAATTTATTTAATAAACAAACCCAAGCACCCAATTTTGACTTTTAGTTAGACCACTAAAAAATTTTTAATGAATTCAAATAATTTGATTTATTTAAATATTTTATTTAATTAATTAAATAATATAAATAATTTATTTTAAATTACAATAAATAATTATTTTAGTTAATATAAAACACATCGCATTTTAAACTAATAATATGAAAAATATATCATAATCAAATGAGGTAATGTTAAAACTAAGAAAACGACAAAATGTATTTATTTTTTAAAAATGGGATTAGCGGATCGATGTTGATGAAATTATTAACATTAGAATCTTTTTTTTAATTAAACTCCATAGAAAAAAAGTACGTTCTTAAATTTAAATATTATTGAGCAAAAGATTAATTAGTTAATTAATTTGGGATTTGACTTAATTTAATTGAAATTTGTTGAGAAAGTTACTTGAGCTTGAGGTTTACGTCTTCAAGAAGGTCCGTTCTTTTTTTTTTTGGCGTTTTCCCATTGATGAGGTCAGCGTGCACGTGGAGACACACGTGACAGGGAGACTAAGGATGAGGTCAAATGTTACGGAATGGGGCCCAGAAAGACACGTTTTACTGATACGCATTAAGAAAGAGTCCACATCGAGATGCGTGCAAAACGGAACAGACGTGTAAGGCTTTCGGACCGTGAGTTTTGTTTTTTATGACAAAAATATTTTTGTCTGAAATTAAAAAAAAAAAGTTTGGTCCGGCCAAAAAAAAAAAGATTTTAAGTACAACGTGCTCTAATTTTTTTAGTTCATACAAAAGTCTTGTACTTTAAAAAACTTTGTTGAGAAGGGTTAAAATTAAAATTGGCAGGCCTGATCGGGTAGTTTACCAACCAATTTTGGGTGAAGAGAATTTTTTTTTTGTTATTTTTTTTGTGGACTCCAATTTCTTGTTAGGATCAATTTGTAGATTTGTACAACTTGTCGTAACATGATCATGTGATGACGAAATGCATTACTGTGAAGTCCCACTTGGTTTATATCTTTCACTTTTTTGAGAAATCGAATTTAAGCATGTTAAGGATGCAAAGAAGCTTCCATGGTAATGACGAAGGATTATTTTTAATAAACAAAATTGCATGCGCATTTCTCATTTGAAAGCATGGATTGTTTACACTATCAACCATGAATAATGTGATTATTATTTTTTATCAAATTGAAATTAAAATTTTTTTTCAAATTAATGTTCTATAATTTTGAATGCCAAAAATAAAAAATTTCTTAAAAAACTAAAATCTAAAAAAAAAAAGAGTATTAAGTGTTAAAAAAGCAAGAGAATGATGATAATTTTGAAATATTCAAAAAATAAAAGATAAATAAATAAAATAAGATGAAGGGAATAATATTCTTAAAAATTAAAATTAAATAAAATAAAAATTGATAAATAATTAAAATAAAATACTAATTCAAATATCAACACTTCTTATATATAAATATCATTACACGGGGAGAAGTTAAGATTTTATGAGAATGAGAAAGAACGCGTTTCATTACCTAATCAAAGGTTGCATTTGAAACTAAACGTAACTGTGTTTATTATGAAAATTCGTGTCAACTGCACTGTACAATGTAAAAATGTGCATTTAGGTAATATGAACGGCACGGTACAAATAGATTCTCATCGTGCTGAACCTCAAAATTTTGACTGGTGCTTTATGCTCCGGTGAGAACTGAGAAAACTCACCTCTACCAATTCTTACTTTTCCAAATAAGCCCCCTTTTTTTTTTTTTTTTTTTTCTTTTGCTTTTGCTCCTGACGGCATAAATGTTAATTATTTATTTTACTTTGGTTTTTTATTTAAAAGTTTTTAATATTTCTTGCCATTTCCATTTTTTTTTCAAATTTTATTTTGAATAAATATAATTATTATTTTAATGTAAAAAAATAAATATTATCTTCTAAATCATTATCAATTTATGTAAATATATTATTAATTTTTAAAAAAATAATTTTTTTATTATTATCAATTTTATTAATTTCAAAAAATTTAATAACAAAATTATTATTTGAAATAAAAATAATTTAATAATATTAATTATTTATTAATTTTATAAATATCAAATTATAATTTAAAATTTATTATATATAAATTTTAATTTAATATTTTTAATAATTATTTTTTATTTTATTATATTTTATTTCATCGTTATTATTATTTTTATATATAAATATATATTTTACTATTAATTTTAATATTATTATTATAATATTTAATTTTATCATTATAATAATTAATTTATTTTTATTATTATTTTTAATTTTATTAAAATTAATTTCATCGTTATCCAAACACATCTATTAAATCTAATGCGTTTTCGTACGTACCGAGAAAAAAAATTCAAAGCCCGGTGGTCTCCATATGTGTCAATTAACAAAAAAGAACAAAAGCAGAAAAAAAAATGGATTTGCTTTCATATCCAAATTGCTTTATGCTTTCGAAAACAAAAAAGAAATAATAATAATAATTTTTATTATTTTATTATTTATTTATTTATAAATATATTTTAAAATTATATATTTTTAAACATCTAAAACTCTTAATTTTTATATTTTAAAATTATATTTTATGATTTTTTATTTCTTAATATTAAAAATCATAAAATTTTAATTTTAATATTAAATATATTAAAATTATATATTTTTTAAATTTCATAAAAATTAATACAATATAAATATTTTAAGATGAAATAATAATAATAATTATATTTGGGATCCGTCAATCATCGGATGCCTATCAGGATAGGTTTGTTGACAGAGAGTTGGCTCATGTCCTATAGTTATATAGGACATGAAGTCGACAATTTAAGCGGAAAGGCACAAACCTAGAGAAAATAGGAACACCAAGTTAAAAAAAAAAAAAAGCTAGGCAGGACACGTTAGGGCAAAGGTACGCACGTTTCAAGTTTAGGACATGAAGTCGACAATTTAAGCGGAAAGGCACAAACCTAGAGAAAATAGGAAGACCAAGTTAAAAAAAAAAAGAGGCTAGGCAGGACAGGTTAGGGCAAAGCAACGTACGTTTCAGGTTCTGAGGCTGACAGCATTCTAAACACCGATCATTAATTTCAAGCACTATTTGCAATAATCAATTAATGGAACCAAATCAAGTAAAAGATAATGATAAAGGGTCAAGTTTCTATTTGTTTCAAAATAGAAATGACAAAAACCAAACCTTGTGATTGATTTTTTTTTTTAGGTTAGAATGAAAAGGAATGGTCCGAAAATTTGGTCAATACCAGCCTTCCTGTCTAATAATGTATAGCCCTAAACAAGTTTGAGCTCCTTTTCTAAATTAGTACAGTTCAGGCTGGCAATTCAAATCAAATTAGAGGATCAAATTTATGTTATAGCTTGGTATTTTATTCTATCAAATTTATCTTAGACAGCTACCTGAGTAAGTAGAACTTGCGGACACCTTGGCCTTCAAATATTATCATAGATAAAAAAATCGGTGTTGAATTTAAAATTTAATTTAATCAATTTATATTATTATCTTTAAAATATAATATTTAATTCAAAACTTCTCTTACGTGATGTTGTGTATTGCCCCAAGCTTCTATGTTGATGTTCCAAGTCAACTTGATCTTCCTAACAAATACCACACGTCTCAATCACTTATTTGACGTGGTCAAAACGAAGAGGAAAAAATGAAGAAAAACACACCAAATGAAGCCAAGGTTTTAAAAATATTTAAAATTAAAAAATTAAGTTTTTAATTTTGCAATATTTAATTTATTCAAATTATCAAACAGCAATTTAATCTGTTTGAGAGAGTGGGCTGGTAAAAATAAAAAAAGTGGTAAGAACTAAGAAACAATAATATTTCTGTAAAAATGTTTGGCTAACTCTGCCGTGGGATGAAGGAGAGTTTAAATATAGAATGGCAACCATGTATGCATGTCCAAAGAAAGCGAAACCAGAAAATTCCAAATGGATGAAAGAGATATTTTAGAATGTCCATTTCCATGTGTGATACGATCCAATTTCCATTTTCCATATAAACAGCATCATACTCTACTTTATTTCGTCGTTAGGCAACAAAGTTTGAGGATAGATCAATACCAACTCCTATCACATCGATCGGAAATTTATCTAATTTTTATCTAACTATTTTTATTCAATTTTAATTTTTGAGATTTTTCGTTTTCTTATTGTACTATTTCCTTTTTGCTCTAGTTTTGAAATTAAATTTTTTTTAAAGTATAGTAAAATTACGGATGAGAAAAAAAACCCAAATCCAATTAATTTCGATCAACTCCAATTTATTCCAATAATATATATTTTTTAAAATAGAGAATCATGTCACATCAAGTAGGGTTTTAAATTAGAAGATAGGGATCGGTTTAATTGCAATAGTTAAGGTATACATATAAATAGTTTGGTAGGTACATAATTTGACTAAAAAAATTAAATTTGAATCTCATTCTTCAATAAAAACAAAATATGCGATCATATCACATTATTCAAAATTGAAGTTATCTAAATTAAAGTAATAATTAACAGTTGACCCAAATACTTATTATCCCATTTTAACAAGATTGAGATTCAAATTTGCAATTTTTACTGCTCCTTCCTTTATATCTCAGTTACTTTAGGCCCACATACAAAAAAGAGGTCTCCTTCACAGCTTTTACTTTGCAGGCTTGGAATGGCGTAGTTACTATCATATCTTTAACCTTTTCCCTCTCATCTCAACATAACCAATTAACCATCCTTGTAGTCCAAGATCAGGTTTCCTTTCCCAGCACTCAAAGAAGCCTCTGCAAGCTCTTGAGTTGGACCTTGCCCCCACTCCATTTTGGGCTTTAATCCTTATTGCTTGAGTATAATTGTTCTTAATGATGTTTCTGGGTCTTGAAATTCTGAATTTGCTATGTTTGTAGATCCAACAAGCCCATTTCTGTTTGAGTTTGGATGAAATGACCCCATTACATTGCTCAATTTTATCATCAATTTCTAAATAGAAATTATTACATCCATAAGCAGAATTATTAGATGATACCAATTCTTAGAATATATCAAGAAAAATAAAAAAAAATTAATTAAAAAAAACGAATGTAAAGAAGTTTTTTTTTTTTTTTTCAAGAAATGAAGTAAATAAATTATTTAATCTCTTAAGTTAAGATAAGATGTATCATATTTAACATCTTAAAATAAGTAATTATAAATTATGCATTCGATATGATCTCAATAAATGATTATCATTAAAACTTGAATCTAAAATTTTTTTATCTAACAAGACGAATCTTAGCCGATTGTTATGCTGTTTTGAGTCGCTGTCAATTCATGTTAAAGGAAACGTTGCACGAGCATCACTTGCGAGTTGCCGATACGTAGAATCAACAATTGAACTTATTGTCCAAATAGAAGAGTGCTCCACTTTCTTTGTAGAGTCTACAAACAGACAATAGTTTTAACGACAAACTGGTCCAACTTCAATTCTCTTTTTCTGATTTCTTATTCAATGGCACATCATTAAATTTGTAATCGCACAAAGGAAAATAAAATAAAGCCTTAAAGTGTGACAAATATAATAATTTTAAATATATAACATAAATAATACGAAAACAAAAAAATATATATAATTTAAAATTTTAACAAAAATATATTTTAAATTTAATATTTTATCACAAATTATAATACGTTAATTTTTATATTTAATACAAATCAAAGATGAATATATAATTAATTAAATTTTAAATAAACGGCAACTAACCAAGTTAAATATATGAGAGAGAGAGAGAGAGAGCTTTTAGATAATTTCGTGTCTGGAGCAGTGACATAATATTTTACAAATGAAATCAAAACAAAACTAGACATTCCACCCAAGGTTGCATATCATTCAACAAAGAATAAAAGGAAGACACTATTCACTTTTCTCAAAACAATTACAAAGACACATTCCTATGGACTGCTTAACAAAAGAAAATGTAAAAAAAAAAAAAATGGTAACACAAGTTTTCAAGCCTAAAAGGGGAGTAAATTTCACTCCCCAATGGATAATTGTCATTCTCTAATCGATGAAACTTCCCCTCCATACCAGGAAAACACTAACCAAGAGACTGCACATCATCATTCATGCAATGGCAACTATACAACTTACCCCATCATTGGCGAGCTTCTTTTGGAGTGATATAGCTTCTGCTTTCAGTAACTGTGGAATTAGCAAGGACATCTGGCGCAATTTCCCAACTACCACTTCTCCTTCCCCAACTTGAGTGTCTAGTGTCAGATCGAATTGTAGGAGCTTGACGATCTGAACCCAGAACAAAATCAACCTCCAAGGTGGTATGAGGAGGGCCATTGCTCCCTCTACTGCGGATGTCCTCATCAATTTCCTCAATATTACGTCGCTGGGAGATCTTCTTTAGATCTTCACCGATCTCTAGATCATCCTCAACCTTCGAACGTGGATCTCCACCTCGATCTTCTACTTCTGCTTCCTGAGTACTTGGCAAAGTATGCCTTGGTACCTCCTCTTGAACAAAAGCCCGAAAATTGTTCTTTGAGGGCTTTATCTTTGTGCAAAATACTTCAAGAAAATTACTTGGACAACCCCGATTGTAAACATTGATTCTGTTGTCAGCCCTATATCGAAAATTTTCATAGGTAGTCTGGAAGACATGAAGGAACATTAGTTAACTCCTAAAATACTCATGGAATTCAACAAAAATGGATCTTTGCTCCTCATTACACAAAATGAAAATTTGTGCTCTTCCCCCCCATCCATATACACATACCCTCTATTCCCGCTAGATTGAAGGTCTAAAACTTACTAATATGTTTCATTGGTGGATTTTTCTCATACTTATTTACCAAGCTCTCACAAGTTAAGAGGGCAGAAAAAACTAAGACTTGGGATAATTTTTATCATACTTCATTCAAGCTCTATGTGCCTTTCCAAAAAAAATACCAAGCCCTATGATTTGAAATAATTGAGATCAAGCACTACTTAAATTATCATACAGCAACAAGGAGAACTTAACAGACCTGATTTGTTGCAATGAGGTACGAGTGAAACCCAGTGAGCCCGCCTACAAACCACAGCAAAATGAAACAATATGCCATTAGTATGACCGACGGAGGAGATTCCTTCATCGCTTTCCAAACTGTTCCATGGTGATCATCCATCAGAATCTTGATGTACAATGCTGACATGGAGAACACATAGATGCAGAGAAGAGTTGCCGAAGAAACGAACATAAAAAAGTACCGGTAATTTCGCTGCTCATATACACAACAGTCAGCCTACTAACAAAAAACTGCTCAAGAGAAGAGAGCAAGAAATGCCCAGAACAGTATCAGTAAACAGGCTTATCAAAGAAAACAACATACCAGTCCAATGCATTGCCCCACCCAAGGGCAATGGTGATCAAAACGCTCCACACAATTGCTGCAAATGGAACAGTGGGAGCAACGGGGAGGGCGATAAAGCATGCATGTGTCACAATACTTCACCCGCACATTAACTCCATTAACCATAACTTCCTTGGTTCGAGGAAACTGAAGGCCAGGTGTTTGCCTACCCCCAACCTCAGTTGAAACAGAAGAATCATAGCGGAACTCCTCTGGTGGATGTGAATTGCGGGGAATGATTCCTGGGTCCCGGGCTGATGTGAGGAAAAGAAGAATCAACACCTATCAAAATAAATTGTGCTATTAAAATCAATAGCAACTTGATAACCCAAAAGAAAAAGTCAACAAAAATAAGAGACAAAAAGTTATCCAAAAGATATACTACTTTAAAAATGCATCCGCCATAATCAAGTCCAGAAATTAGAAAGGGCTATCCTAATCTTAACTAGATCTGAGAAGGCCAAACTTCTATGAGAACTCCATTACCAGTAAAAAGTCAACAATTGATCTAAGATCAAATGAAAGGGTTCCACCATATATTCCACCAAAATATATTTTAAAATTCATAAGATCAATTATCTTTGGAATTGGAACATAAAAGTTTGTTTACTCTACATCTTGAAAATTTAGCTTCAATAAATGCCCATGAAAATTTTGTTCAGAAAACTTATGACAGAGATAATTGCTGAGAAATCCCAACAATTAAAAACAGGCACTCAGTGCAATTTGTAAGGTTCTTAAAGAACAGTTAACTCTGCTGGCATCTAGGGTGATCAACTCAACAGTAGTTTTTCTAAAACCTCAAGAAAGAACCCAAGCAACAATTAAAAGGTAAAAATCACTTACATAAATAGTAAAGACAATTGCTACCACCAGAATAGCATATCCTGCATTATATGGAGAAAATGAATGCCGAAGGTGCCTTGCAACAAATACGCAAAAGATGATAACAGGAACAATGATCAGCAATAAGGTAACAAGCAGAGACCTAGCATCTGGCCCAAAAATCAGCCTCCCACCAAGAACAAACTTCTGCAAAATGCATATAGAAGAGGAATTAAATGCCAAATGAAATTAATTGCATGATCTGTATAGACAGAAGAAAGCAAAAGATAAAATGAAAAACATCAGTTGTGTTATGGCTTCCATATTTTAATGTTGCCATTCTAAATATTTTTCACAAATTGCACCCAGTTTTGGTCGTAGTTAACCTACACCCATGCATCCTAAAATAATCTTCAAAGTTCTAACTTTCATTTACCTCCAACCTGTCTCGTTTACTAATGATATCATTTGCAAATAGCATGCCCAAGGATACCATCTTGAAATGTACTTGGTAAGTTTATCCATGACCAGTACAAAGATTGAGGACTTATAGTAGTTCGCTCTTGTTGATAATATGAAACTTAGTATTTTCACCAGTTCCAACTAACACAAGATCCTAATTAATTAACAATCAAAGTGGGGGGCAAATTAAGCATTGCATCCAAGTTTTTATTTTTGCTTCAACGTATAAGTTGAATAAATGCTTTAAACTTTTTCAATGTTGTTTGCTAATTATAAATTTTATAAAATTTCAAAAAGGGAATAACATCAAGATCAGAGAGATTATTAAGCAAGCAAATTTCCTAGACTAATAAAATGCTATTTAGATCAACAGTTGAGCATTTAGATCAATACTTTGCTATAAACCCACACAAGTAGCAATAGGGCTCCAAAAAGAACCAAAAAGGATAAGGCTAGAGATTATTTAGCAAGCAAATTTCCTAAACTAATAAAATGCTATTTAGATCAATACTTTGCTACAAACCCACACAAGTAGCAATAGGGCTCCAAAAAGAACAAAAAAGGATAAGGCTATAACGAAGAGGAACTCTTAACCTTGGACAGCATTCAGAGCAGTAGAATCAATCATGAAATCTTCTCCTACTTCCTATACTAGTCGTATGATTGCTATAATGGTTTTGATCCGGTACTTTTGCAAGCTAGAGCAAAAACTTATAGGGATACTAGAAGACCCATGACAATAGCTGAAATCCTCATGCATAAACAATTTTACAAAACTTTTTTCAAAGTTCAAAGCATTATTTCCTTTGGCAATAATCTTCTCCTATTAAATAATGTGCTAACTATATATGCAATTTTTTTATTTAATTATTCATCTTTCAGTTTTGTAGATACCATAATATGATTACATAGCACCCTCAAAAAATGTAGAAAAGAAACCAAGCACTCAACAGAGGACTTTGAAAGGAACCAAGTAGGGCCTTTCAATCAACTAATTGTAAAACACAGTAATGGTAGTATCACAATGAATTACACAAAGTTCACAGCAAGTTAAACAGCATCAAAGGCTTACAAGGAAATGGCCTATAACTAAAGAGATTGTAACCCTTCACTAGTAAAATATAATGCTTGTCTGGCCCATCTTTTGAACAGCTTCACTACTCTACAAAGCTAAAGCTGGATCAAACAAGGGAATGGAAGAAATAGCTTTACCTTTAGTATTAAAAATAAGTTTCTAAAGACCAAAAATTTATGGTCATGGTGCTTCTGAAAAAAGTTGCAATGATAGATGATAGATATAATTAAAGAAAATTTTTTATGAGTAAACATATAGTATCAACTATTTCAAATAATTTCTACTGGGTTGAACTTCTTAAAAGAATCTACTTCACCAAGACTTTTTTTTATTAATATTTAGTAGCACTTTTTATAGCAACAGTAACTGAGCTAAACAAGCTCCTAACAGAATATTCTTTCTAAAGCTTGACAAGAAAGTCAATTAAAGCTCAAACTGAAAGGTTACAATATAATTCTTAACAAATTCAAACTTCTGGAACCATCTTTGCAAAATTCTATAGAACTTCCAAAAGAAAAAAAAAATTGTTCCTCCATTGCCACAAACTAGAAAAAAACTAGCAAACCCCATCAAGCAAACTTCATAGGCTATTCAGTCCTATCTAAGTGAACATAAATGATAGAAAACTGGCAAAATTCCCCAATAAGATCAACTGTGAATATTAGACCATTTATCTTCATTCATCATAGTCTAAATCCTAAAACCATCTCATAGTTGACTACACTTAAAGCCCTTTCCAACAACCTTGAGCCAACTAGAAAACCCCCACATGCACTGACTGAAAGTCTAGCTTACATATGAAATAACTTTAACGAGATTAAATGTGTTTTAAGGAAAAAAAAAAGATTATACCAATCTAATGGCTCAAAAGGCTTTCAAGCTCATGTAAACATTTTTTTCATGCCACTAACCTACTCCTTGATCATATACTGATTAGATCTCTTAAATAATTTTGAATTTAAAACATTCATTCAATCTTTAGGGCAGCTAGCATAAAATAATTATCACTATATCAAGTTTCTGAGAGCAATGAACCACTCAATAACATTGCCTTCAATCTTGATATACTCTCATCCTCAGATGTACATTATCACTAAATACCATGACAAAAAACATGTGGCAATAGATTTTTTACACCTCTCAAACATGAAAAACATCAAACATTGGATCATCAATCTTTGCAAAATCCAGTTAGTAACAATTTTGAACAATGCGTTGCTTACACCCCACCCTCCTAAACCTTGCCTGATTTTTCTAATCAATGTTACTTTCTTCAACTTGTAAATTATTACTCATTCAAACACTCTCCATCCCACCACCAGAAAAGAAAAAACCGATGACTCTGACATCCAAATAATGAGTGAATTACATAAAAACATACCAACCAATTTTTTTTATCCTTATATTCCTTCAAAATCTTTTTTTTTTTTTTGGGAGGGTAGGGTTGTTAAGGGATTGAAAATGTTACCTGTCACTTCCACCAAATGTGGTAATTCATCTAAAAAATCTTAACCACAAACTATGACCACATTGGTCATCCTTCTATTTAAACAATATTTTTGCACTGATTCCTACACAAAAGCATCCCTTTGATCCAAAGATTGCCACACTATCAAAGTAGCAAGTATCCTCACAATCACCAAACTCAGCAAAGCAACGGCTTCGTTATTGTGGTTTGAGATTTGGAAAAGGTAAACTAGAACAGAAGAGAATCCATCCCATTGAATCTTCCACAATTGCAAGAATTTATAACATTATAATTATACTTAATTCAATGAGATTCTCTGAAAACATTGGGAGATGAGAATGAGTTTCAAACTCTTAATACACCCATAGAAGTAACACTACAGCTCTTGTGACAGATACAAACACACACATAACACCCTTAAAATGCAAAAATACATAAAATCAACTATGTATCAAGCATGTACTTGGCCTATTTTCCCCCAAAGTAATTTGGCATAAAAGCACACCAATTCAACCAGAAAAAATCCAAGGCCATACTCCGTAACTCTACTCAACAATCCATTATTGACTGTCCTTTAAAGCCAAAGCTTGTCCTCCATTTGGTCATAAGAGTAAATTGCAAAAGCTTCATTCCCAACAATGCTTCATTAACCTTAACCACAGCTCTGTGGCTAACTTCATCAACGCAAAAACAAATCAACAAACAGTCAAAACACCCAAAAAGAAAGCCTTAATAAGTTCTCCATGTTTTCCCCCATTTTCTCAGTATCATAATTCATAGTACCAAAAATTCACCAAGGATAAAAACTAATCAGAACCCGAATAGATTAAAACCCAAACCTAAAAATCCCACTAATGACTAAACCAATCAAAAGCCAACTCATTTTTCTACAAACCAAACAAATCTAACAAAAACCCAGATGACCAAACCGAGCATTTAGATAAAAAAAAAAAAAACCACAAAAGTAAAAATAAAAAATGACACCCTTACATTCCTTCCTTTCCAAACTTCGTACACGCGCTTTTCCATGAGAGAAATTCCAAGGCCTTCCTTTCCCCTCTTTTAGCTTTATTGAACTACGCTGGCACTGAGTCGAAGATTTGAAACATGAGCGGGATTTTCATTACATTAAAAAAAAAAAAAGAGAATCGCAACACCTCTCCTCGCGAAAACCTTTCCCACCACACTGAAAATCGTACTCAATCGGATTTTGATTGAATAGTAAATGCAGAATTGGAACCTGGTTTTTTGGGTATTTAATATTTTAATTAAAAAAAGGGAAATTGTTATAGAGAGCAGGTGTGCGTTTGGCTATCACAGCAACGGCGGTTCGCGTTCCGTCTGTGAGCGAAAATGGGAAATTTTAGGAATTTAAAAAAAAAATTCTCACGTCATTGTATCATCGTTTTCAAACTAAAAAAAAGTGAGATTTTTTTGGAGGCTTTTGAGTTTGAAGTTACTAAGTTGCCACTAACTTTAACTTTTAATTACCTTTGTGTCACAATGCTCGCAGGGTCGTGGCTGAGGTGGCGTGATCATGTTGGTGATGAAAAGACAAACATGTGAAGAAGGCAGCCAGCCAGCCTAGTTGTTAGACTCTATGGAGATTATCCTATCGTAGGAGTTTTTTTAAAGACTTAATGTGGCAATAATTTTTAAATTACAGTGATATGACTCGTGTGATTTTTAAATTTAAAAAATTTTTAATATAATATTTGATTATAAATTTATTAATTAATATATATTATTTATTTATTATTAATATAATTAATTTTAAATGATAATATAAAATGAATAAAATAATTATAAATAATATATTAATTAATAATTTATAATTCAAATATTATATTAAATATTTTTAAAATTTTTAATTTAAGTACATATAAGTTTTTTTTTAGGAAGTTCAATCCTTTTGAAAAACACTTCAAGATAAAAAAAAAAAAAAATCTCTTGTCCAGCTAAAGAAAGATTAAAAAAAAATTCTTAAAAAAGACTACACTCAAACAAAATTTTGGCATTCGGGTTGAAAATGATTTTTGTATTCAAAAGTTGTTTTGACTTAATTTCAATGATCAATAACCAAAAAAAAAAAAAAAAAAAAAAGCCTTTCAGTTAAAAAGTTTGTTTGCAAACTCAGACAAAAAAAGCTCTTAAACAGTGCTTTTCTGTCAACTTAAATTTTTTGAGTAAAATGAATTTATATTTTTATAATTTTATGCATATTTTTTTGACATTTTAATTCATTGCACTTTTTTCATAATAATTTAAATATTTAAAATTATTAAATCATATTTTTCTAACAAAATTTTAAACACAAATTTTCAATCCAAATAATAATCTTAAATTAATCATATATCCTTAATCGAATTATAAAATGATATATAAATTTAAATAGTAAGCAAATATATTTTAAAGTATTTTAACCTATTTTTATACTTTGTAACAGCTTATAAATGGAAAGTGGACATAATAGATTTTTATGACACAAAATAATAAATTATTTTTGAAACTAGAAATTAATAATAATTAATTATTAGAGGATCGATAATGATCTCTCACATGTGATGTTATTCATTCTGTGCCACGTCAAAATATAAGCAACTTTTTGCCTTTAATTTGATGCCCTGTCTATAAATCAAATTGTTTATCGATTAAGATTATTCCGTTTTGTCTGTATCTTAAAATTTGAATTGTCATCATTGTATAAATCTTCATGTTATTGCAATTATTAATTTATTTATAGATAATTTATAATTTTATTATTTCATACACAGTGAATTCACTGCTACCAATGAACTGTACAATAATTATAAGTACAATTTCATATAAATTTTTTTGCAAAATTTTCTCTTTTTAATTCCTATCTCTCGTATGATATTTTGTTGACCTCATTTGATGCAATGTCGTGTAATCTCCACAGTCAGAAAACAGAGTATATCCCTGCGGTTTCATATATGCTCCCTTGCGCATTCTACATTGTTAAATATATCAAACATGATAATTTCATATATGATACGATAATACGATATAAAAATAATATAAAAAATATATATTTTAAAAAAATATATTTCATATTTATTCGTATCGATATGAATTTCGATACGACATAATTTATGTCATATATGTATTAACTAGTCTAAATATGTGACACAATATGAATAATATATTTAATTTAATCTTATCATACGAATATACATTTAATATGTTTAATACGTTTAATATATTTTTTATATTTATTTTAATTTAATATAAATATATAAAAATTATTTTAATTTTTAATTTTTAATTTTTTAATTATGATACTTAATTAGTTATTTAATATCATAAAAAATTTATTTTAAATATTTAATTATGATACTCATTTAATAATTATTATAAAATTATTTTTATATTAATAATATAAATATTAATGTTAGTCTTATACATTATTATTTTATTCTTTAATATTTAATAGTTTATCATTTTGAATTTGATACTAAAAATTAATATAATTATGTAATATAAATTAAATAAATATATATTAAATACATATTAAATGAGTATTAAATTTTGTTATTTTTAAAATGAAAGTTTTTTTTATATTATTAATATGTCAAATTTATTAAGTTGTAAATGATGGATAGTTTATAATTATTTATTATTTTAATCGTATTCTTATAAATATTCATGTTTGTCATATCTATTCGTGTATATTCGTGTTATTTGTATATTATTCATGTTGTGTTTAAACGATTAATTGCATAGATGTTAATTGTGTTGTGTTGTATGTAATACACATTTTAAACGTATTGTATTTGTGTTTAGAATTTAAACACGTTTTATAATTCGTGTTGTATTCATGTTTTTAATAATTCGTGTAATTATACGTGTCAAATACGATAGGGAAACATGATTTGCTAGGTCTATTAAATTGCCTTTGGTTCCTTTTTTTCCATATCATGTATAGATATACATCTTAAGTAACTGTAAAGAGGATGGAGATAAGTGATTTTCCTTTGAGTTTCTCTACTGCCACTTAAACATATTTTCCCAGCTAACTATCTTCTTAATCAGATTACAAAGTTGCAAAACCTATTTTCACACAGCCATTGAATAACTATAGCTAAAAAAAATATGATTCCTACTTTTGTTATCCTATTTAGAGAGAACAAATTCTTCATTTGTAGCAATTTTCCATTATCAGCCTATCTTTTGTAAGGAGTCTACTAAGAATAACCATCTAAGCAATGATGACACATTTGAGGATGTGAAATTGACACTAAAGAAGTCTGTGCCATTCTACCTTTACTTGTTTAGGCCTTAACTCTTCCCTATTGGAGATTTGAGATTGAATTAGTCTATGTCATAACATATAAATCCGAAACCTATAGTTAGACCTGACTCAGAGAGTCGCCACTAATTTTTTTTGTTAGGTGTGATTGGTCACCTAACTGAATATGTCTCATTTTAAAAAGATATCTCAAGTTTGACTCGAGTATATTTAAAAGATAGATTTTATAAAATCATTACTAGATTTGATAGTACGATTATATGTGAGAAAGATTATAGCACCCTCACAATGTCTATCGAAGGATGGTACCGGTTTAATTTCGTGTTATCCAAGCCTTGAAACATATTTGTAATTTTTACCAAATAATTTAATATTAGAAATTGGTTTTAAAGTTACTCCAATCATTTGATAGTAATTTAAGATAATTTTCTCACATCATGAGTATTCATGGAAACTTGTTTCCTACCTTGACCAGGCTTCGTCGTCAAATTCATTAATGTATTTTTTTTTTGAAAAATTAAATTTGAAAACAATTAATAAGATTTTTCAATAATTTGGTAAGATTATATATTAATACATATCCCCCAATCGTTTGGTGGGATTTTAATTTGAAAAACCTTTTTTATGAAAATTTTAAAAAGAATCATTAAATCTTCCAATATTTTAGTAAAATTTACCTCAGAGATTTAAATTCTCCAATCAATTGGTAGGATTGAAAAATTATTTTTTTCTTTAAAATTCATTATAAAGTTCTCCAATCATTTGGTAGAATTCATAATTTGATTTTTAAATCTCAAATCATTTGATAAGATGAAAAATTGTTTTCAAAATTTATTATGAAATTTTCAATAGTTTGGTAGAATTTATAATTTAAAAATTTCTAAACCCATAAAAATCCTCCAATAATTTGGCAAGATATCATGAATTAATTTTTTTAAAAAAGTATTATTATTTTATATATTTTAAAACATCCATAAACAATAGCTTAAAATAAATAAAAGCAAATAAAAATTATACCAATTGGACCAAGTCTAAGTCAGAATTCAAAATAAATTGAGCTTGGAATGGCTCAACAAAATTCTGACCAAGCTTGAAAAAGAAGGTCGGCTAGATGATTTAGGCTTCACTATTAGCCTTGATTTTTCTTTAAGATGGTGAATGGGTTGGGCATTGTTGCAATTGAGCTCTGGCAGTGGAGTGAAAATGGCAAAGAGATAGTGCGATAGTTTTGCTTTTGTCGATTGCTTTTTGTTTTTCTCTGGTTATTGTGTTCTTCAACATAGAACTCCCAAATAAATCCTAATTATCTAAACCCAAAATACCAAAAAAGACCATAAAAAAACTCTTAATTTTTTTTCTTACTCTTTCTCTCTTGATTTTTTTAATTGATTCTTGATTGTTTCTAATTGATCATAATGGGGTCTTTTAATAGGCCTCTAATCCCAATTATAATAGGAAAATGAGTTTTCTTTGTTTGAATATCCTAATTAAGTTTAACCTTGGATTTTTAATTCAAATCCACCTCTGAGACCAATTTTCTTTTATAGTCTTTTTTAATTAAAACATTTGCAATTCAACAATGCAATTAGAATTAAACCCTTTTCAAGTTTCAGCAAAACAATTCTTTCCCTTTATTTTTTTAAAATAATAATAATAATTCTAAACTAAATACAATACCAAAAATAAATAAAAGAAATCAAAGCCTAATCTTAAAATATAAATTGACCTCGAACTAAATAGGGTATGTACAGTTACCCTATTTGTACATTTTCTGTGAAATAAGAATTGTGCAAAGATATAGACACCCATTACATCCAAATTTGATATAAAAAAAATCTAGAGATTCTCATCTATAGTAATGATTCGTAGTTTGCAACTGAAATTAAAAAATTTACAATTGAAAATTTAAACATTCGCAATTTAAAATTCAAGACTTCTTAACTTGAAGTTCAGAAGTTCGTAATTAAATTCAAGGATTCTTAATTTGAATTTAAAGGCTTGCAAAACATTCAAAGTTCTCCCAAAAGTTCAAAGGTTCACAAATAAATTGAATTCAAAGATTCACAAAACTCTAAGGTTCACAAAAGATTCAAGATTCTAAAAAATTTAATATT